CACATAAGTGTGACCGACCACGAAATAAACGGGCAATAAATGTTGATTGATAAGTTTTGGTGCAGCTTATCGCCAGTTAAAACTAATGCCTATCCAGCTTATCTTTGTTTTGACGCCAATAATTTTGTTTTTATTTTTTAATTACGTACCCATTGTTTTACGTCAGCTAAAAAGCGAGCAGTTGTTGCCTGTTATGGTGTTTATATTTGGCGGTGCATATTATATGGGCGGGGCTACAAGAAATTCTTATAGCCCAGACTATTTTATGAGCGAAAAAGTGGTGCTGGTAACATTAAACTACCGGCTGTGTTCCCTTGGTGAGTTAGTTAAGATACACACATTTTTTTTTCTTTATCTACTAAATAACGCTCCGCCATCCAACTTCCATAGGTTTTCTGAGTCTCGCGGATCCTGCGCTACAAGTACCCGGCAATGCAGCGCTCAAAGATCAAATACTCGCGCTCAGATGGGTGAAACAATATATCAGCCACTTCAATGGTGATCCCAACAATATAACAGTTTTTGGAGAAAGCGCCGGCGCTGCTAGCGTTCATGCGCTAATGCTTAGCGAACAGACAAGCGATCTTTTTCAACGTGCCGTCCTTATGTCCGGCACTGCGCTAAGCTATTGGGTCAACATGCCGCAGACTGATATGGCCTATAGATTAGCAAAATTTAATGGTTATAGCGGTGAGAATATAGACGCAGAAGTATTATGCTTTCTACAACAATTAGAGCCTGCCAAACTGGTACAACATTCGCTGCTCAATGAGGAGGAACGCAGAAAGTTGTACATATTTCCTTTCGGACCAATTGTGGAGCCATATGTTAGCGCGGATTGTGTTTTGCCAAAGCGACCATTTCAGCTGTTAAGAAATGCCTGGAGTAATCGCATACCATTGATTATTGGCGGTAACTCCTTTGAGGGTCTCTTTATGTATCAACGTCTGAAGATGTTTCCACAAATAATGCGCACGCTTTTGAATGATCCAGAACGTATTTTACCAGAGGATGCAAAAGAAGCTTATACGCCTGAACAGCGGCGGGAAATGGGTACAAATATGCTGAAATTATTTTTTGGTGCGAAAGAGCCAAGCGATCGTTCGGTGTTCAAATTTCTAGATGTAAGTCTATTTAATAGCTCATTTCCACCAAGCCTTAACAGCAGTTTATGCCTATAGGAAAGGGGAAATTACAATTCGAAGGGGGTAATTGCTCATAATAAGTACTAGAAAATTAAAGCAAAAGTAAGAAATTAACCTGGCCGATCACAACATGTTAAAATTCTTTGAACTCATCTCAGCTCTCAACTGCAGTTAGCTGTTAGTGGGAATGGGGTATAATAAAAATTGGGTATGTTAGAGGAAGTTTTTGTATACAGCGCCTAATATAACTTATTGTAGAAGCATAGGCAGACGACAGCCTTGATCTGTGCCAACTTTATAATTCGGAATTATCTCGGCAATTAATTGCAATTGATGCGGATTAGGTCCTGCAGCTAATCCTCGAAATTAATTGTCTATTGTGCAAGTAAGCACAACAAAGTTTGACGTAGGACCCAAGCTTCTCATTTCGAGTGATTGCATATTTTAGTTTACTCTATTTCCTTTTGTTTTGTATTATTTTACATTATTTATTATATTAGTTAATTTAAATTCCTAAAACTTAAATTTTATGTAAAAAGTTCACAATTATAACACCGCGCAAAAAAAACAACAAGAAAGTTCTTAAACACACGAAGCAATCAATTTACTCACGAAACTGTGGGCCAAACATAGTCATACTGCGTTTTTTAGTTTTTTTCAACATCAAAAAAATAAAATTAAAAGTTTTTTTCTAATAGCGGTCGCCCCTCGGCAGGCAATCGCAAACCTCCATAGTCATGAAAAACACCAACAAATCGAAGGAAAATCTCGGCCAAACACTAACATATATGTAAGGCCTAATCTATTATAAAATTGCCTGTCGTACGGTGTAATTAGATGAAAAAAAAAAAACAAAAGTAACAATTTTATGAATAAAAACGGTTTGATGAAAATTCTACTGGCCGTGGGACGAGAACCTCGCTGCTCGTTTATCTGCAGTACTGCCGCCTGTCAGGGTACAATATTGATGTTGCCGTCTGTTTATGCGATAACACGAATTTAGTAAACTTTTTTTATACCCGAGCGCACTTGTGCACAAGGGTATATTAATTTTGTTCACATAACGGTTGTTTGTAACAGCCAAAACGAATCGAGATAGATATAGACAAATGTATACATAAATGATCAGGATGAAACAAGAAATCGATTAAGCCATGTCTGTCTGTCCGTCCGTCCGTGTACACGATAACTCGAGCAAAAATTGAGATATCTCAACGAAATTTGGTATGTAAGTTTCCCTTAATCCAAGGTAGGTTGGTATTGAAAATGGGCGAAATCGGACTTTAACCACGCCCACTTCCCATATAACGGTAATATCCAGAAATACGAAAACTGTGATATTTTAGTAACTACTGGAGATTATTCACTCAAAATTGATATTTACAATAATTTTTAGACGAAAAATAAGAATATTATAAATTTTTGGAAAATGGGCGTAGCCACGCCCACTTATGGTTACATGTGTATATCTTGGTAACCGCTGCACCAATTTCTTCCAAACTTGGCACAGTTGTTGGCCTTGGTACAGCATAAAAAATCGCCGAAACTTTTTAAAATCGGACAATAACCACGCCCACATCCCATATAACGGTAATTTAGAGAAATACAAAATCTTCGATAATCAGTAAATATTGAAGCTAATTTATTCAAAATTGATGCTTGCAACAATTCTTTACCAAGAAATACGTTTATGGTAAAATTTTGGAAAATGGGCGTGGCACCGCCCACTTATGATCACATATAAGTATATCGGTAACCGTTCTACCAATTTATACCAAACTCGGTGTGGTTATTGTGCTTGCCACATATAAGCAAAACGTTGAAAATTATTGAAATCGGACTAAAATAACGGCCGCTTCTCATATAACGGTAAATTTCAGAAATGCTTGAAACTTCAATATTTCGAAATTGAAGGACGCCAATTTACTCAAAATTGATACACCCCGGCTTACCATCTAGCGGAAGGTTTCGGAAAGGTGAAAAAACATATATTTAATACTTGCGCCGGGTATTTAATGTTCGGCTCCGCCCGAACTTAGACTTTCTTACTTGTTTATTTTAAAGCTTAAGCTGACTTTGCACGGTTCGATTTTCTAGTCGACTTTTGACGTTCAACCAAAATCGACCATAAACTGTAAAATGTAAATGCTTTGGCTAGTCGATTCTCAGTCGATTTTTCAGTCGACAAAAATCGACCCGCGTAAAGCCAACTTTTAGTATCCAGCTTTCAAGAAAAACAAAAAGTTTATAAAAAAATGCTCAATAAAAGTTTCTTATAACAGTTGGCTTAATCGAGCAAAAAATTTGTCTTGAGAGTTAGAAACTAAACTTAAAAAACAAAACATTTTTGTACCACAATTTAAAAATTTTTAAAAATTATCATCCATTCAACAATTTTTATGAGCTCGAGGCCGTTTTCAGTGAAAACTTATTGTGGAAAAGCAACAATAATTTGAAAAAACGGCCTCGAGCTCATAAAAATTGTTGAATATAATTGTTATAAAGGCCATAAAAATAACCAAAACAAATAATTTATCATCCATTTTAAATTTCCTTCTAGATTTATGGCTACAAGCAATTTTGGCATGACATCCATCGCACTATTTTGGCACGTTTGTCCTATGCCTCTGCTCCAACTTACCTATATCGTTTCGATTTCGATTCACCAGATTTTAATTTGTATCGTGCAAAGTTTTGTGGCCACGATCCAGTGCATGGCTGCGCGCATGCCGATGACCTATCATACATGTTTTTCTCAAATGACTCGTGGAAAGTTAGCTTGGACTCGGCGGAATATAAAACTATTAGGCGGCTAATTGGCATTTTAGTTGCCTTTGCCAAGAACTCCGATCCTCACTGTGATGAAATTAAACCAATTGTATGGCATGCGCTTGAGAAGTCCAACCCGAGCTTGGCTTTGAATATCAGCAATGATTTGAGTATAATGGAATTGCCAGAGAGTGTGAAACTGAAAGCATTTGATGAATTATTTGCATCAACGGAGCAATTGTATTGATAAGTTGTTTTACTTGTTACATTCCTTAACCTACATACATATGTAAATACATATATACATAACAGTACATATCACACTCTGAATAAAAAAGTTTCCGATCTAAAAAAAAATTTTAAAATCGCCTTTTATTAGTACCACATCGTTTTGTGCAATAAAGCATTTTAGTTAGATATGGATTTTTACATTTCAGCCACGATGTTACATAGGGCCTATCTATATTAGGGTAACGCTATAAATACAAGCTAGCTTACCTCTAATTTAAAAAATTTTGTCAAACATGTAGAAAAGTGGCATTTTTTTAAACGGCACACAGTGGTCGGAAGAGATTTGTTACACGCGGAACATTTGGCGGCTATTACGATTATAATAAAAATGCAGTATCATATTAGTTTTGTTATGCAAAATCCGAATATGCCATAACAATTTTAGTTTGACAGTTCACAGCAGTCGTCAGATGGTAATTTCTCTAAAAATAAGAAAATCTTTTTGAAAATACCTTTTTTGAATTTTTCTAAAAATCCGATAATCTTTATAAAAATGTCTTTGATTAGGTTTTTAGATATGCTGATCACGAATGTTATGTCAAATTGAAACTTTGGCAGAGTTGACAGCTGTCAAATATATCGTTAATTTTTCAAAAATTAGAAAATATTTTTTAATATGTTTTATAGATGCTAGTCACGAATTTACGTCACATTAAAACTTTAAGGGGTTTGCAACTCTCGAAGGGCTGTCAATTTCTCCAGAAGTAAAGACAATTTACCAAAAATTAAACGTACTATGTTTTAAGGCTCACTGATCTTGAGTCCTGTATCACATTCAAACTTACAGTTGTGAAACTAACGGTAATGATCAGTTGGGTATGTATTTGTTTAGCAAAATTTTATTTATCATCATATATAAAATGAATTTATGATCAAATTATAAAATTATAACAGTAACTATATTTATAAATTAGAATAGTCGGGGCCGTCTGCTATATGTTCAGCCCAAACAATTTAATCTAGGTCCAAAGAGTTTTTTAAATTTTTTATTTTATTTTATACGAAATTCGTCATTACCAAAACTCCAGTTTTCTTATTTTTAATAAAGTTATTCAGGTTTTAATCTCTGGAAATTTCGGACGCCATATTGGATTTCGAATTTTGAATTTTCAAAAACTAGCTTGAAATTTGTAAAGGGCGAATTTAAGAACCTCTAAATACCATATTTCATTAAAATTCATTAATTTTTTTAATTTTTCGACGCCATATTGAATTCGTTATTGGTTTTGAAATTGGACTTCAGCTTCGTTAAGACACGACTTATAAATGATAAAATGCTAAATATAGAATTAATTCCATTAATCTTTAATATTGTAATACACTTTGTGCTATTTGGAACAGCTGCTAAAGTTGGTCTACTGAAATAAAAAATAGCCGCCACTTTTATTGGCGCGAGTATGCGCGGCTTTTCTTTTGGTAGATCCTTAAAGTTCGGCCCCTTACCTTTTGGTAAAGAAATGAAGATCCTACTCGGCTCTACTTATTAGTTATACCTTTTTGAAAAAAAATATTTCTTGAAAAATAATCCGTGTTATTAGGGTATGCATAATTTGGCAATAAATTCGTATTACCAGGCTCTAAAAAATGCTTTGTTTGCTTGGTGTTGAGCTCACTCACAACTTTTTGTTCACATACATGCTCTAAATATCACCTTTTCCCAAAATTTAACGCATACAGTTTTATCATTTTTTTAGCCAGAAGATAAGCATAATTTTTATGATCGTAGATATACATATACTACATACAGTTACGATCATTGAAATAGTACTACGCGCTTACAAGAAGCATTGCGCCCCTAATTTCGCATACTACGCGATATTGGTATGGATTTTTTTTTTTTTTATTATTATCACCTCTAGTGTATGATTTAACTCTATGCAAATTTCAAAGCGTTCATCAGCTACGGTTTACGGTATTTGAGGTTTTGGAATAAAAATTTAAGCTAAATGCTTTGGTTTATTATACATACATTTAGCAGGAATAGACACAAATATATTTTTTTAGTATTTAGTGGGGCGAAGTGTGCACTGTACTCACGAAAAACGCGGTATTATTAAAAACCCTTTTTAAAAATGGGAATACATAAAAGGAAGTGGAAAAAATTGCTGGATGTTCAGCCACCATGATTTGAAATGCGTTAAGATATCACAATAAACCCAAAAAAAGGGAGGTAAGTAGAAATTATCAACGACTACCATACGAAAAATTATGAAATTCAAAGACTCGTTCCACAATGGCAGCTGTAGAAATTTTGGATAGCCTAAAGTTACCATGTAGTGTTCGCACAATAAGGAGACGGCTCCGAGAACACAATCTTTATGCTAGAAGTCCACGTTAAGTCCCGCTTTTCAAAACAAAAAAAAATCATGTGATACGCAGCAGCTGGCAAAATTGTGGCTTCGCTACAACGAAATTGAGGTCATAGAGAGGCCAGCTCAATCTCCTGAAGTCAATCCAATAGAAAACCTTTGGACCGACCTTAAGAAAGCCATATGGGGTCTACAACCAAAAAATAACCACGAATATGGGCTGTGGTTATCCGCGCATGGCAATCAATACCATAGAAAAGATGTCGTCAACCCCTTTTAGACTCTATGCGAGATCATTATGCAGCAGTGATTAAAAACAGCGGTCATGCCACCAAATACTAAATAACTGTGCTAAATTTTAGTACTAATATTAACAATTTAACTTAAATTTAAAACTTTTTGTTATATACTGCTATTTTTCTGCAGTAATTTCCATAAAACACATCTTACGTGAGGTAATTTTTTAAGTGTTTATTTATGTAAATAAAACTCTTTCAATCCTACAGTTAGTTATGAAATTGTCCATCAGTTTTTCCGTTAAAATGAATACAACTATCTATTATCTTGGTTTTGTAGTAATTTGAAAAAATTTCAACCGCAAATGCACACTTCTATCTTAGTGCTCGCAGCTGTACATGCTCTGCAAAAAAAAATTGTGCAAATAATCTCTTAAGCGAATATTTTGGTATTATTCTCCTGGGCAATAATTTATCTCAGCTAATCTCATACGGGTATTTTCGCAGACCGACTAGTTTTGAATCATCCCTTAAGGGTATAATTAGAGATAAATTAGTCCCGACACATCTCTAACTGCTTCAATTAAGGACTTAAATATATGTACGCACTTAAGGACGGTATACTAACTGTGGTTTCAAGTATAAATAGTGAAATTAACCTAATCCGTCTATTCTAACAGAACCATAAAACTTAGCTCATCATAAAAATTCGATTTGAAGTGCTAGAAAAATACACAAAAACTTAGAAACTTATGCTGGATTTCCACTAGGCATTAAATGGCAAAAATGACAAATGACAAAGTCGGGCATTAAAAAATTATCGTGTCATTACATTAAAAAAATAGTCATTAATTTCATTTCCACATGGCATTTTTTTAAATGGCATACATTTTTTATCATATCAATGCCTAGTGGAAATTCGGCATTATGTTGTAGTGGCATATTTGCTGCAGCGGAAAATTTTGGTGTGCAGTAGAAATCACTGTGACTTTGTTACAATACGCCTGTTAGACTCAAATTTCGTATTGATGAAGTCGACTCAGCGAACTAATAGATACTGAAACTCGAGCCGAAACTTAACAAAAACTTAAAAAGTTCTGCACATATTTTTGTTTTTAAATTTTGAACATTTACGGCAGACTTTTCTAGAATAGTTATCGGCTAAAAACAACTTTCCACCTCTCAGATAAACCGAATTTTTAATGCCGCAAAGGTCTGGAAGTGTTCATGGTAGAGTATTAGATTTTGGTATGAAGGCTTATGAAATCAATTCCATACTCTTGAAAAAAATTGGGGTTATTGGAAAGGGCGGTAAGTTTAATTTATCACAGGGCATTTCTCGTAATACGTAGTAGACAAGCATTTTTTCTAATAGTGATCACCCTTTGTTAGGCAATTGCGTACCTTCGAACGTGTTTTGCATTGAAAAGGATTCTTAAAAAAAGACAATTACTGTTCCTGGACCGCTCTTAACTTTAAAGACGTTTTCGTAGTAATATTCGTAATATTTTTATGTTTAATTGATTTGTTTAGATTATGTCCTTGCTTTTCCCGCTCGCATAATATGAATATGAATAATATTTAGTATGTATCACAACTACATATTTCAAACTTATTTACCAACTTGTTTCTCATCATACTTTTGGCACTATGTCCAAAGCAGTTACGCATGGTGTACATCGAAACTAGATCTTTGCGAAAGAGTATGCACATTTTTCTTCGCTTATAACTGATAATTATCAAAATTTAAAAAACACTCAAAAGCAGATGGCAAGAACTTGTGATGTGAATACATAAGTTATGTTAGTTGTATTCGAAATTTTGCCGCTTCATGTACATACGCATATAGGCTGTGTGATTTTTTTTTTCATTTTACTTGAACTCTATCAAATTCAACTAAATCATATTTTATTACATAAATATAGGTGTATATTTAACTAGGTAAATATGTAAACCTACATACATATCAACTGGTTTATTTAAGATTTTATACCTAATAATTAACTCTAATAGCCCGTGAAACTTTATTATGTTTTTACTTATTATAAAAAGTAATTTATTTTATTATTTTATTATTCAGCGTATTTTAATTGAGATAGTTCGGATGTAAACTAATAAATTCATATTTACAAGGTTTTTGCAAATCTTATAACGCCGCTTTAACAATAACCAATAAATTTATATAATTAGAGCTTTAAGTTTATGATGAAATAAACTTTAAAACTCATTATACTTTAAAGAAATATTTTCATATGATTTACAGCTTGATACGCTAAGTGCACACAACCCTAATCAAACATCTTTTGTCAAGTCATTAAAAACATATATACAACAAATTTTCTTCCACGTCAACAAACTGATTGCGGATATATCTACATACATACACACATCTCTAAAAAAAAAAACGCAATGGCAACAAAGTAAGTTGTATGAAAATTTTAAAAATATCCCAGTCGGCTAAATGATAAGAGCTTCTGTGTAGGCGAATTCGTACAGGAAATGCTTATCCGGACGACCTTCTCTTTGTAAGCTCGGTTGAAAGATCTTTCAATAGCGCGAGCATTCGAAATAAATAAAAGCAAATATTAAATAGTGGTATTCACCAAATTGAGCAAGTGACCTGGTACTCTGGCAAAAGAGCAGATGAGCTCCAGCGATGACTATTGACAAGAGTTGTTGCTCGAGCTGATCTGCTCTTTTGTCAGACTGCCAGGGCACTTGCATATTTTGGTGAATACCACTATTGTTGTAGACTTGCCGATGCCTGTCTGTTGTAAATTTAACTTTTTCATTATCATTTCACGTAAACTTTGTGTGAAAAAAGGAAACTGATTTACAAAGCCTTTAAACTCTAGCCTTTCCCATCGCTTCGAATGGTTTGAAACAAGGGTTCCCAGAAACCCTCTTGATTTTTCAAATTTTGTCGACTGGGATAGGAAGTGATCCAAATACTTTCATAAAGTATTATCTATGTATGACACAGCTCTGGCATATTGGAGACAGTGGAACTGCAATTACCACAAGGGCGCATACGCGGTGCAACACGCGAGACTGTCAACGGCATTACCTACTATAGTTTTGAGGGCATTCCTTATGCCCAGCCGCCGGTTGGGAAATTACGTTTTCGGACACCCAAACCTTTTGGGAATTGGAAAGACACGCTTGATTGCACAAACAGTCCACCCAAGCCTGTGCAAAAGAATAATCAGGCTGGCAAAGCCGATGGTAGCGAGGATTGTCTTTATCTGAACGTTTTCACGAAAAATGTAAGTAGACGTACACATGTACATACGTATCAATACATAAAGATGAAAAGGTGCCAAGTCCATTTTTTTTTTTACAAATTTAATTTTTGATGCAGAATGACAAATAATGCGAACCTACATCGATTTTTCGTCTCTCCTGCACACTTTAAAAAAATGGAAGTGACACCTTTTCGGGTTTAGGGAACAATATGTATTAGCATGATGCAATAATGAAAGGTGTTATACGTTGGCAACTTCTCGCTCTAATCCGCCATCTTGAACTACCTTAGGAGAAACTGTGTTGTTTCTTTGCTAATTTCACTGAACATTTCCCAAAATATTAGAAAAAAATTCTAAACAAGCTACATTGATTCAATTTTCGTTGTTCGTTTTGTTCTTATTCGCTGACATTTGTTTTCT